GGCTCTAGATCGTACATCTCCAGCTGCTCTACTCATAGAATCCATCTGGCCGAACGTAACAAATGACCGTCAAATCGGTTCTGTCTTGCACACTGTGTACCAGTTCACCTTATGTTTCGTTGACGCATGCACAGGAAGAACAACCAGTCTGCAATCATAAAGCATGACTGAACGTATTCGAAAGTGGTTGATGAAGCAACCGACAACCACTTATCGTGCAAAACATGTCAGGATAACAAGACACAGTAGACTATATATTTTCCTTCAAAACCTCTTACTTAATCGCGTTGCTAAAGTTTTGACAATTCGTGTAGCATTGAATCCGTATAGGAATGTTTGGATTAGCCACAACGAGAGAAAACCAAAAACAACAATTTTCTCTCGTCGTGGCTAATCCAAACATTCCTATACGGATCTAATACTATGAGCACAACGCACAATTTCTTCAAAGACATTCGTTCCAACTTTGGATGTGATACCTTGTAGTGTAGCATTGCTTATTCGGTTACGTCGCCTCATTTCATGCACTCCAAAGTTTCGAGTGCAGTCAATTCACTTATCGTGAGGTTTACCTTTCACTTCTATTTTTATGTATTTTGGTAGTCTTACCATGCTCCCGTTAGTTCACTTAGATTAATCAACCCCACGTGATGTATAATTTATATATATATACACTGTTGTGGGGTACTACTCACATTTGTGAGTAGTAAGCAAAATAGTGCGGTTGGCGGTTCCCTTCAACGATTAAAAATTAACAAAACCACTGAAGGTAAATTGCTATGTCCCATAGAAGAAGTACGGACTGTTCCTCTCATTACCCGGTGTGCTGCCGGAAATTACGATGACATGTTTCAAATGAGATATCTGTTATATGTATGCCAAATTAATAATATCCCAACTGTAATCTGCAATAAACAATTGTCCTCGACCAGACACCACTCCGTGGAATCATAACAATATATATTGATTGGTTGATTGAGGAATATAGGTGAAATATTAACACACTCCCCACTTACTTTACGGCGATTAGCTCTTTGGAGAGGATAAGTCAGCCTCACGAATATCCCGAATTGCCGCTGCTCATGCTCGGCGGTCAGAGCAGATTGTGATCCAAATTAACTTCCATTGGCGATTGCCGTAGACGCAAGGGATATCCAGGTTTTCTGTATCCTTGCGTGCCGTGTCTTACCGGATTTTCAGCTGTCCACCGTTTCGACAGCGCCAGTTCGGGCAGGGAGACGGTGCTAAGGTAGCTTTGGTCAGGTCGTTGTCAGATCTACTTTATGGCCAAGCCATTGTAGTCTCCGTCTCTGTATTGTTGTCCGCAGCCGTATAAGATTACTGATCGCTTCATTGGAGGTCTGACACCTCCATCGTACTCCCAGAATGATTCCTCGGCACCACTGATGGACGGATTCTAGTCGTCGACTCTAAGTGGTCAGGTTTCACAGTCATACAGCCAGGCAGGACGCACTACTGCAGATAACACTCGTATTCTGGTCTTTAGGCTCATTTCATTTCTATACCAAAGGAAATTCTTCAGCTGCGGAAACACTGCATCATCGATGCGCACGTGCACCTCGTCTTTAGATTGGCTGTTGGGCAGTATAGTTGAGCTCAGGTATTTAAAGCTTTCGACGGATTCAATCGGCTCGCAGTTTAGTAGTAAAGCATCTTCGGATGGAATTGGGACTGTCGCAAACGTTCTCGTTTTTACTTCTTTCGGTACCAGTGAGATGCATAAACGGAACCCCATGTATTATAAAGTACTATCTGTCCTCTATCACCCAATTAAACCCGCATTATCTAACTGTACTTTGATCTCCCCTTACAACTACCTGCTCCAAGTGCAAACACCTTCAAAAACGTACAAGTACACAATTTCTGTATAGCTTCCGACCTTACCCGTTTCTTATGTCATCCGAACCCCTTGATTTCCGGACTTTGTTCCTCATAAAAACGTTTCCCCTTCTCGCCACTATTTCAATCCACAGATGGAAGTGATCGACATAGCGACAAGTGCCCGATGGTTACGGGAGAGATACCCGAACCGCGCATCGCCTGGAGATCGAACAGAAGGTTCTGAGTTGGCCCAAAATTGTGGTTGGACTCGAGATCAACTGATGGACGTTCTGGCGGAAGCGCCAAAAACTCGTTTTGCTTATATGCAAGCGGACAACCATTCAGATGCCATTACCGTGGTATCGTTGAGTCGTGATGGAACTTGTTGTGCCACAGCTAGTCTGGACGGAAAAGTTTGTATTTATTCTATTCTTTCCTCTCCGGAGGAGGGTGAACAGGGAATTTCGTAAGTCACAGTCTCCCTAGTTCTTACGTTCCTTTTGAATTTTGCACTGTTTCCATCTAGAAGTGGGGTGGATGGGAATGTGATGCGTGTTTTTCAGAACACCTGGGCCGATGGATCTCCATTCGTGACCGTTGATGCAGCCCAGGCACATAGAGACTCGGTCACGGTTCCAGGACTCCGGTGGACACCTCAGACGTTAGCGTTCCACGTTTGACTTCACT